TGATTAGATTTTTACATTGATATTATATATTTATTTAAATAGTGTTCTAATAAGACTATACCGTTCGTTTTAATTGTGTCGGAACTGCTTGCAATGTCGTACTTAAAATCAATGCAAATACCAACGTGATTGACTAATTGTAACTGCTTTATATGTATATTATGTGATAATGCCGATTTTAGTAGTGTATAGAATGATTATAAAAATAAACACTATATACTACATCTCCTTTTTTATGTTAGATTGTATAGATAGAATTTGAAGATTAAATGATGTAATGTAGCTATTATTTATACTTTAATGTTACAGGCATTTTATTCGGAACGTAAAGTAGCAGATTATGCTAAACCTAAACAGCCTAAGATTCCAGATGAAATAACGGATTTTAAAGTTAGAATTAATGCTTAGCAAGAATAGTAGCTAGAACTCTAATATAAAGCGTGATCTAAACTACAGTTAGTGCTGCCTCTAATAAATTATAAACTAAATCACATTTTCAACTTCCTTTGAATAGGCAAAAACAAAAAAAAAGGTTAAGGATCGGAAATTAAAGAGAAAAGACTACGAAATTACAACACTAAAAAAGGTAATTAGTGCTACCAATTATAGTAATATAACGTCCAAATTATTTTATGTAATTATTGGATCTTTATAAAAAATTCTATACTAGAATTAAAGTTCTTGTAATATACATTTGTGCTTAGGAACTCAAGGATGCAGATAAGCGTTTAAATGAAACGGCAGCTAAATTACTAGTGATGGAACGAGAGGTATATATGTAGAATAATGTTGAAAGTGATCGTTTTATACTCACAGGCCATAATAAATCATTGCTTAAAACTATTAGCGTCGTAGATCTGAGAGTGTAAAGACAACTGATAGTTTACAACTAATACTATTTTACGATAGCGGTTGAATTAAAAATTATTGATACCCAAAATATGGTACTGAGGATTTACTGTACTGATTGTTGGCTTACTTTAAATTTTCTTTAGGATAAATTTACTCAAAATTCCATAAATGCTAATTCGGAACAGAGTGAACACTCTGATTATTAATGTAGCGCAAGCATCGTATATGTACCGTGCGCTTGATGTTTAAAATCTTTGACTCAAAAGAATACTGGATTGATCCTTAATATCTTGTATGTAGTTCTACTTAATTATCCTATTATGACACAATTTTGCTCATTTTAATAGTAAATTCAAATCTATTGTATATAGAATGCGATTTTTGAGAAATTGCTGACAAGCAAGGTTATCAATTCACTTGTATAGCTTGATATGACCTGTCTAATTTACTATAAATTCGGACATTATATTAGCACTTTATAATGTCATCCATAAATTTTTATTATTCGCAGTTGTCTCTATTCTGGCACAATTTGTTTTAAATCTATGCGTAAAAGAATCAATTAACTGTACTAGATTACTATGTTTCACTTAATTACATGTTATTTTATATAATTAGTAATATAAAGAATTTTTATTCCATTGTAAAATTACAATTGACATGAGTTACAAATGCAAATCAATACATTAAACAGAACTACAAGGTTAACATTATATAGTGTACAATATAGTATATTGGTTAGGTGTAATGGTATAGCTAATGTTTAAGTTTATTCTAGTACATAATGAACAACAATTTTAATTTTTGGTTTATGACTACGTAATCTAGAAATAAAATGAATGGAACAAACAAGCAATGTACACTAAACAAAACTACAAGCTTAACACTATTAGATGTGTAATAGTTAGGTGTAATGGCATGGCTGATATTGAAGTCTATGCTAGTACATAACAAGCACCACAGCGCCAGTTTCGCTTTTTGGCTAACAACATCTTAATCTAGCAAAAAAATCCGAATACATTTCAATTAACTATTAATTAATAACATAATCATTGCAGTTTGTGTTCAACAGTTAATACGTGCTTAATTGATGATTACAGTATAAGATAAAGTACATTTAAATATACGATCTATGATTGATCAAGATCTTACTTGTATTTTTAATTCTGAAGTACAAGAGGTAGGTGTCTATCTTAATAGTGTAGCAGTCGTTAAGCAATAGAAAAATATCAAACCACATCTGATATTTACGGTGTTGCATTGTATATTACCTTGTTCAAGATTTATACACTACGATGGGTATAATTAGTCAATAGACAATTTATGGAAGAGTCAATTTGTCTCCTTTGATAATAACGCATATATTAGAATAAGTATTACTGTAGATATTACAGTATGAATTATTTCATTGGACGCAAAAAGCAATTACTCAGCAGATCCAGATATAAAATAGACTATAGAATGGCCATACATTTATGATTTAACGTGCAAATACAGCAAAATTTGTATCAATGTTAAGTATAAATATGTAGAATGTTTTAATTCTTCCATGAGATTCCAGCTTGGCCTAAAAATAAATCTTGATCACTCAAAGCTCTAAATAGAATAAATGACTTTAATCTTTCCATCCATAAGAAACCAAAGGTATCTTTATCGAAAACTACTAAGCGACCTGGTATAAATTTGGCATCTTTATAGCCATGATAAGCTATCTGGCCTTCCCCTTCAAATTCACCATAATAATGAGAGGGTATACCATGTGAACGATGAGTATAATCTTCAGGTAGTGAGAAAGGGAAAATTTTTCCACCGTCTTTTAACACATAAGGTCGGTCCATTGATTCGCTCGTGACGGGCTTATCAAGAAATGCCTTAATACTAACTTTTCCAGCAGGTACATTAGGATCACCAGATAGTTTCTGACCAATTAATTCATTCTTGTCGATATAGACATGCAATGTCTCAACACCGTGTGCTCCGTAAGAGCCAGAATAGATGCCGCAACGCAATGGAAAATTTTCACTAATAGATCGCTGTGATAGGCTGACGAGGCGTTTATAAGAGGTTAATTGCCAAGTAAATAAGTTAGCATATAATTTTTTTTCTAATAAAGTACGCGTTACAATGTCTTCGTCATCATAATAAGGATTCTCTTCTAAAAACCACTGCTTATATGTATCACTATTTGAGAATGAATTGATAGCAATTATAGATAATGCTACATCATCCCTATCTAAACACTTCAATTGAAATTCCAAGACAAGTTGTTCTTCATCTCTTTTAGAGATGATAATGTTACCCATACATTCATGGCCCAAAAATGAAAATGATAAAATTTTAGTAGATATCCTATTATCATCATAGCAAGGGATAATTTTAAATAGACAACGATGTAGAATATTAAATTCACCCGAATTTTCTAACAAACGTTCATTTCGTCGTAGTACATATTCATTACAAATAATAGCACCATTATCAATTTTAATACAGACCAAACCACCATAAGGATCAACAACACGATACCATAAGCCTAATAAGGGGCCATAACGATATAATATTTTTTGATAAAATTCTTTAAAAGTGTGGATATCTTGCCATGACTCAATCTCACGGATGTTGTATTGATTTTTACAATGTTGTTGCCAAATCCAATCACTTTGAGTAGCATGATAAAAATTTCTACAAACTAAAGATACGGCAAGATAATCTTTTATAGGTATAAACTGAAAAATATGAAGAATTAGTTCTGTAGGGAGATGTTCAATGGATGTGGATGCAGTCGCCATGACACCTAATAGAGTACAAAGTAGGGCAATACTAGTGGAGGAATACTTTTACTACGAGTAGTCAAGGCGTAGAATCAATTTGTATTTGTAAACTAGTAACATCAACCAGGCTTGTTATCTAATTGAACTCTTTCTTCTGTCCATCAGTATTACAACTGTAAATTCAGTTGGATTAAAGTACAATTTGATTTGTCGCTGGAACTGATTTTCAATTTCTATTTTCTCAATGTTTTAAGGATTTGAGCCGACTTACTTTAGCCTATAAACGAATAGAAATCAAGTTAAGCTATGAAAGGGAAGACTGCAATCCAAGTCGATGATAACGTTGCGATAGCAATCAACCGACTACAAATGCACGCAGTGATGAGTACACGCATACTCTTGCTAATAAATTGCATCGACAATCATATACCTTGAATTTCTTGTGTATGCTACTTCTAAATGGCTGTCCAATATGCAATCAAGAAGCAAAAGATGGCCTTGCAATAGAGCGAAGAAGAATTCATATGTCGTTGCAAGCCAAGTTCACCATACTGTACATGGCAATCATATCTCAATTTACTATGATCGATTTCTACGGTCTCAGATCTCTGCTTTGCTTGTACAGTACAGTACTGTACTGTACTGTACATACAGTGCTGTACAAAGTGTCTCAGATGTCTTTCCTAGTACGTACTGTACAGTACAGTATTGTACTTCGAACTACAGTACTACAGTACTGTAAAGTCAATACCGTTGCTGTTACCGTTACAGTGCAGTATTACTGTACTGTACACTGTAGCCTTCAATGTGATACAGTATATGTACAGTATATCCTGTGCGGTTATAAACTGTTATATCGCTCTTCTTGGCCACTTATAATAACACTACAGTAATATTTACAGTATAATAAAGTTCACTTCAGCACTCAAGCTCTAGTTAACTCTTTTAATTACATTACAAATTTTACTGAAAGAATTTGTAATAAGAACCAAAATATTTTTTAAATTTTGAACAGTCCAGATGATACTAACTTAATGCTCTGGCCAACTAGTGCATCCGTTAAGCAACAAATGCTGGTATGACGTATTCGTGTCAATCATTGTACGCGTACTTGTGTATGATGGTAGGGTAGCACTAGTACCATTTGCAGCCAGGTTTACGAGGGACACTTGTATGTAGTCCTACTATCGTCTGTCACATTTGTCCGCTTCGTTACAGATTGTTTAGAATTAATTAATTTCCATGCCTTTTATTACACAAGATAACGCCATAGTTCAATGTATCTAGAGAATTAAATTCACGGCTTTACATTATTTACTAGTCGAGATCAAAGATAATAATAATACTATTTCTGAATAAGATATATAATGCATCAATCCTGTTTATAAAAATTAATTTAAGTTCTATTTATACTGTATATGTAACCATTCTTATTACAGCTTGTGAGAGAAATTCTTTACTTAGTCAATATTAAAATATTTATATAGCAGTACAGTATTGTAGCACGTAAACCGTGACTGCAGCACTTTCAAAATTTTTTGTTGCATTCAATGCAGTAATTAATAATAATTGCTAGAGGGAAGTACAGATACGAATAGTCAAAGCGGTATCAAAATTTGATATTTTCAGCATGACAACGTTTCAAGATGCTAGTAACCATGGCGAATGAACATTCTAATTCTGACAAGGTAACATGTTCGTTATATCAGAGACTACTCCAAAAAGAATTTTCTCTTTCGACAATTCTATGGTTATATTTTGTAATACAATAACAGTTCAATTAGCTTTATCAAATGATCATGTCCAGATAGCACCTATTTCAAAATATATTATGGCAACAATTATAGGCACATGTACAGTATATATAAAATAGCTTCAACCAATAATGCACAATGCAGGTCCAGTCTATACCAAAGGCAATAATATTTGTATAGTACTGTTTACGTTATCTTAGGAAAAATAGTTCAGCGAGCAAGATAATCCATTACAATTGATTTCTATCCTTTTAAAACAACCTCTGCTAATGAGAGTCTTTTCATTTCCAACTAACTAGGCCTCAGGTGCTATATTGGAATCTTGGATAAGCTGTTCAGATTCTATAATACTTGAGTAAGGTGGGGGAGAGCTAAAAGAGCCACTACAATTTCTACCTTCATTAACATTATCCGTAGGATGCAAGCTGATATCGGCGGTTGTAGTACCATTGGGTTCTTCCTCCATTGTTCCAATAACCACTTGAAACGAAGCTGTCAAATTTTCACCTCGGGGTACAATTACAAGGAACTAATGTACAAAGCAGATCGAAATTATAACAAGTGATAATATTGTAAGCACAATTCCACTATTACCCAATGATCAATATTTAATAATAGGTTACAAAGAAACTAGCAAAAATTACGTAGACCAAGCCAGTAAATTGAAACTTACATTCAGAGCGAATGTAATTTCCATTAGATTGCAATTAAGGATAGTTGATGCAATATTCGCAGGCACTATAAAGGGCTTGTTCTCCAAATTTATGGTGTCCCCTGGTTTCACCTCTCCGTAAGACATCCTGGCAATTTCTGTCGATTTCAGGGCTGATCTGTCTACGTGAACGTAAAAACTCTGATTACTAATTTCGGCATGCAAAGATACGGATTAACCTGCTATCTTGACGATAGCGAATAGTTATAATCATGAAGAAATATCAATCCCCGGGAGGTGTTCAAAGTGGTGCCAAAAATATTCAAGATTTAATTTATACTGTCTGTACAATGTTCAAAACAGGTATACCTTGAGCTTTATAGTTCTCAATGCGCATTAGATGAACAGTTACATCTGGAACTTTTCGCTTGGAATAGTTTTGAACTTCACCAAGAATGAGGCATGGCTGCAACGGCAGATATGCTACTTTTTCAATAACTGCTAATAACTTGATAGATCCTGATCCACAGCAACAGCGCCGTACTCGGGTTTCTTGTTCTACAGGATTAGGTAAATGCTAAATATAGAAATATTGAAGGTTATTTGTTTGCTTTCTTCATTTTACCTTATCGTTTGATTATATCTAATACTTTCCTACTACATATTCGGAAATAACTGCATAATGATAAATTATAACTATTCTAATCATTCTTTTACATAAACTAAAATCGATATTTCAGTTTCCATAACCATAAGCGAGAGTATAACTTAGCAGTAGCGGTATCGTATCAGTTTGTGGTCAACTCGCTGAATGAAGAATAACTATATACATACGCGCACTACGAATAATAACTAATGCTACTCTATAACTTGGTTATAGGCCTGAATTTTTTTAAAAATCATCATTTTGTCGCACTTTGAAACAACGGCTACACGATGCCTTACCGAGTAACATGGATCGTTGATATTGATAACATTTCTAATGGTGAACGGTTTCAGTTTTTTATCAGAATTTCCTTTCGGATAATTAAAGATAGTTTCAATGCCATAAGCAACGTGGATATGCTTCGGTTGCTCTGCATCCTGATAAGTCGATGGTAAATTTCTTGGTAGGACGAAAGAGAAAGGAAATCTATGCTCCCCTTGAGGTATACCCGAGGTACCTCCTTGTTCTACATGTAAAATATGGCATTAGTTTTCAAGTGTTTTCCTTCTTACCATTAATTATTAGTGGCGAAGTGACGTACTTCAATAACACTTACTATATTGCTGTACTAACAGTTAAATTAATCAAATTTAGAAGTATATTTTCGCAGCAGTCTATAATCATGGAAATAATTCACATCAGGTGTACACTGCACTGTAGTATTACGATTTATCTTGTGACTGATCGAAATTGTTCCTTATCCACTACTGTAACTGTATTACCACGAAATTTTTAACTTCTTTCCTAAGTCAGGTCGCCAATTATAGCGAACATAATGATAATCATCTCCACTACAGTATATGTAGATGTGATTCTAGGGTTTAATTTCATTTTCGGTAATACGTCGATGCCCAATAATATTGTATACTAAGCAGTGTATAGGGTAGAAGATGATTACCAACGTGATATATTCTAACGTTACTGTACAATAGCATAATAGAATGACGACATAACTTACTGTATTTGTGAATCTACAATACAGTAATGTACATTCATTCGATAAGAACGAACATACAAGTATATACTGTCAACAATTTTTAGATTGTTCGGGTATGACTGCCGCCTGAGCTTATAGCGCACTAACATCTTCGATCAAAATGGTTAAAAATTATAATTACAGAGGAAGCGTACATCAATGAATTCGATCGATATCATGGCGAAGCACACGTATTTACCTACGCCAACAAGTACTATCTTCTGTTCAAAGATAACATAACAGTCGCGAAATGTCGACTGACGGCCAGATACATCTTTGGCTTTTATTTTAGTAGCTGCAATGCCAGATACTTTTAAGGTAATATTTTGGACTAATACGTTGCTTGTTGCTCGAAATGATACGTTTCCCGAAATTTGATCATTAGGATAGTAGTATTCCTTTTCATCGGTGACCAGAACCTCTAGATTTTTAATCTTTTTAGGCATGATTCAAATTGAATAGACCGTGAATCCGTTGGGCCTACTGGACCAAAGAGGTAGTAGCAGGGATTACAGTAAGTCAATTCTTCAATTGCTTTACGTTCAAAAAGAGAGTGTAGGTGATGATATACGGAGTTTCAAATTGATCTAAAAGAACGACAGAATATGTTGCCAGCCACGAAAATGCAATGTCTACTTGCGAGCATGATCCAATGCTCGAAGGGAAAGCGGATTACTTAAAATTACACTTTAGTCGCCCGTCGCCTTGTCTAAAATAAGAAACATTTTGATATACAATACTGTGCTGTATTCATACAGTACAGTACAGTACAGTCTTTTCTTTCAGCAGTCTTGGTACTGTAAAGTCAGTACTGTACTGCATACCGTACTCTACCGTATCTTGCAGTAATTACTGTAGAATCTCAGCTTGTGCTTTACTTCGCTATGAGGTAATGATCGAAAAAAAGTAAAGTAATCAAGTGGAAACAGTATCTTGTGGTAATTAGAATCTCAGCTTGTACTTTACTTCGCTATGAGGTAATGATTGGAAAAAAGTAAAGTAATCAAGTGGAAACAGTATCATGTACGGCAGTTTACCAGACTTTCACACCATTCTTTTAATATTCGAGTTGTAACTTAGAACTCACTATACTAGCAGTACAGTGTACAGTACTGTACTGTACAAGAACTTGTAGTGAACGCGCATGACCTGACGTAATGCTTTTAAATATCATGTGTAAAAACAGGGAGTTACTGCAAGGAAAGAAAGAAAAATGACTTTATCCGTTCTTAATGTTAGTCAATACAACGTGATTAGCAGTCCTGAACTCCATCTGATGTTACGATAAGTGTTGGCGAATGAACAAATTGATTCACCTAATTCTGCTAAAATGAGTGTCTGTGAGTACACCAGTCTACTGCAGTCTAGTGGTACAAAAGTCCTTAAATGCCCATATTGACGTCATAACTAAGAGGGGACTGTTGGCGTTGCTATATTGTACGTGCAGGACGTAATACGCGCATCAAAAAGGCCTAGTAAGTCAATTGTGCACTCGTACTACAGCTAGCTATTAGGGATTCACTACAGTTGAAATAAATCAAAATAGAATTGATTGAGTCTATGACTTGTATATATAAATAATACGATAGATCCAATGGATTCAACTATACGAGTATAACTATTATTACGTGTAAGTAGTATTTATGAGATTGAACGCAACATCGCATCAAAATTACAATCATTCACAAGTGTAAAAAAATTGTATTTGTTTATTTAGTATTTAGTCTACAATTTTGACCTTAAATACAGTGATCAGGAATGATTAGATTTGTTAGTAGTTAGAAATTGACATGTAAAAGGTTAGTGGTTCTCACCTCTCAATTCATACTAGGTATTAATATTAACAATTTTAAATCGCCTCTGATAAATTAGAACTTAGGCTTCTCAATACTTGCATAGTTAAGCATGATGACGATCACGATTGTTTCAATTGTTTTCGTCAAAGTAGTCTACATTTCTAATCAGATTATTTCATATCGAATCGATGTTTTCCTCTAGTCTTTCTGATACTACGCTAGATTACTAATATAATTATGGCTTAAAATCCTTTCTGCAGATTAATAAAAATGTGCACATGGTCGTTCTCATCAGGTTGACTTTGTTGGAAAAATAGTATGTTGTAGTTAAACACATTACAGGTTTGTTCATAAATTTTATAAAACTTGTCCGGGATTTTTAACTTTAATTTATGGCAACAGCGGCCATGGAATCAACTTCAGGCGCTGATGGTGTCTGATCGTCTAAATTATTAGGCTCCAATACAGAGTAAGGAGGTGGAGGGGTATCTGGATTGGCGCTTAAAGTGCTGTTGTGCCTACTTCCGGCTTGACTTTGTGGCGGGTTTATTTGCAGTTGAGAAATTATTTCATTCGTTACCGTACCGATAATTATGTCTAACTTTCTAGTTATATTTTCCGCTCCGGGAATTTTCAAAGTGAACTGAAACAACGACAATCATTGTAATATTTTAGCTTAGTGATATCATTACTGTGATTAACCCGTTTTAGTAACAAACAAACAAACAAAAAAAAATCGGTGAAAGCCACTAATTCTTATGAAATATAAAAATAAAATAGTACGGTATAAAGTTACTGAACCTCTGTTAAATGAGCACATTATCGTAAACCGTCAGTAAAGCGACGGGAGTTTGCACTAGTATTAGTTATTTGCAACTACTTCAAATGAAGACAAGAAGAACTAGTTAAGCAACGATGGATATTAACTAACCTCAAGTTGGTAATTGACCTTAATTAAAGGACAATTTAATAATGTTGGTGTTAAATAATCGGGCAAAGGTAGAGGTTCACTAGACCAGTGGATAGTTTGCCTAGCAGCTATGCGACCTGTCGATATTTTAGCTATTTCATAGCTTTTAGTATTGGATACACCTAGTAACAACAGTTATCGATAATTTCGTAAATAAAAAGCATCTTACAATAAGATAAATACTTAACTTATCCTGAGTATACGAACGAGTTAGCAAAAATTTCAACTGCTATAAATTGTAATATCATTAATTACTGTAATACCGTACCTTCTGCGTTATATTCTTCATTCCTAATCAGCGCTACTTCTAAAGCAGTCAGTCTCCTTCTGGAAAAGTTTCCTATTTCTGCATTAATTAAAATGGGCTCGAAATTTAAAAAGGCTTGACGTGCAATGCTTGCTGTAAGCTTAATATCACCAGGAATACATGCTAAACTGGTAACGGTTCTTTCCTCTATCAATGGAGATGGTGGAACCTAGAAAGAATTAATTTTAATGATGGATTGAAGCTGAAAGAGTAACTCTAAACATTTTACTATAATTTATTTACATGATCATTTAAAGAAACCTAGATTATAAACGGTTATGTTACTATAGAATTTGCAGTTGTATTTAATACTTTTATAGTTACTATCAGGATGTCAAAGAAACTGTATAAATATTATTTCTTCATTTTCTACAATTAAAAAAGAATTCAACTTTCACATTGATAATTTCTGAATCTAGGTATCGAATAAAAAACTTTTTGCAGTATGTCGTAGTGATTGAATTAAATGCCTGGATTTCTGAGAAGCATGAAAATGAAATATTATATTAATGGTACAGCTGAATCAACATGTACATGTAGGTCAATAGATGTACGCTGGTATGAAACGATTGCTTTTCATACTTTATCCTTACTAAAAAATATGGCACATCAATTCTGTTAGTATGTTCACTATTTCAAAGACTAAGATCAAAAAATATTATAATACCAACTAAAAAATAATTTACAATCAGCAGGACTGTATAAGAACGTTTAATAGACCAATATCAGCTTTTCTCTGCATTGATTGACTTTGAGGAGAGATATTAAATTAAATTATATTTATAAAGCTATGTTTAAGATCTGGCATTATGCATTGATGCTTTTCTACTTAGAATAGAAATATCAGGGGCAGTATTACTACTACACATCTACAGTATTTATGAAAGTGATACCTGAAGCATGAAACAACTTGTATCCGGTACAATATCATAAAGATATTAAAATTTATCAAATAGTTACCAAATTTTAATCATTTATGACCGATTGAATGGCAATAATAACTATTACGAGAGAATTTTTCAATACGAGTTAAATAGTACTTAATGGTATAGTACTCTAGTAGCTATACTACTCTAAAGTTTAGTTATAATGGAGTACATCTGTAGAATTATGACAAGTATCAAAATATAATTGATTATTCAAGATAAAATTTAAAGGTCTTTTAGCTATTAAAATGTAAAGATATGATTGGAGGAATAAGTTTTAATGAAGTTGAGAGTAAAACTATAAATACCCTATCTTAGCTTGGATGAGTTGTACAAATCTTACCGAGAAAACAGGGTCGTCAACGTTCAGGAGATGTTGCACTTGAAAAGGTTTATAGACGTTATCGCTTTTCTTTTCACTATAATTAACTACGCAGTGTACATAATATCGTATAGCGTTCGGAGTAACTTTCTTTTCTTTGTGACGTTGTAAAGAAGAAGGCAAATCTGTAGGTAAGTTACAGGAAAATGGAAATCGATGCTCCCCTTCAGGTATAATACTAAGACCCCTTGTGTCATCTAGCAAATGTCAAAAGTCATATAATAAATCAAAATTTAATACTACTAATGATAAATTCTTGATCTACTTATTAACAAATGATTTTACAGTATGCTGTCCAATGTCTGTAATTGATAGATTAAAAATTATTTATTATTGTATTCTAATGAGTAATGAAATAAAGTTTTAAATCCGGTTATACGTGACACAGCTCTGTACTAGATTGAACCAATATTATGAAAGACAGTGCATTGCAAGTAGCTTAGTGCTAATGGTAGTTTTTCTCGTTTCAGTAACCTAGATTTTCTCTACTACCATTTTTGAATATAACTGCTTTTTAATACGAGATCCATTTTCATATGCGGTATCGGTTGCTTTTTAAATATTATTGAATTTTTCGATTATCTTTCGAGGTTGGGTACATTCGTATATAGATGTAGCCTTGGTATTAATAATAACTTAAGACTACCACTGAATAATTAAGATTTTAACGGTTACAATTGCACTACTAATATGCTGTCTAAACGTCATTGGCAATCTAGCCTAAATATACTATACGAAATAACATCTTAGTAAAGGTCTAACTAACATTGCTAGCATTAGTTAACATTCAATTTTCTTACCTGTGCCACATACTAATTGGAAGTAATCAAGGTAGACTTTTTCGGCTTTATGTACTAGATTCTGACGTTTACCATCGGTATCTTGACAAACTTCAGTTACTTCTGTATCGGCTTTACCAAAAACGTGCACTTTAATATTAACAACGGCAACATTGCCAAGTGATTGCAATAGTACCACACCACTTAATTGATCACGGGCTCGATAAAATTTCTTTCGATCATCGTCGAAAATTAATTGAATCGATTTGGCTTTCTTAGGCATATCTTACTTACGACTGTACTAGTCAAGTAATTGTAAAATAGAGTGATCCGAATGATAAAATAATATCAAACCTAACCGATCATGCTGATATAGAATTCCAAAGGAGAAGTTTTCTCATACTTTACAAACACGCACATATTTATACTACTGCAGTAACCATTACCTTCATTAATGTACCAAACTTTTGTTCTCATAGTAAATCAACAATTAAAATACGACGACGTAATATTTGTTATTAGTCAATAAAATATGCAAGCTATAACCACTTAGCTTTAGATGTTATTATAACTATACTAGTATAAGCGTAATCATTCTGTACAAGTAGACTAACCTAAGAAAAGTACAGCAATAATAGCCGATGTGACCTTGTATTGTCCATATGCTAATCAATTATTTGAATCTATCAAATAAATGATGACTATTTACCTGAAATCAACTACTTTTCAACCCATCATTGCCATTCATTGGTCGTTTCAGCTATTACCATATATACAGTATATAAATACAAATGCAAATCGATGACTTGATATTTACTGAACTCTCTCTCTCTCTATATATACTGTATGTGTTAGTTAGTTATAAGAATATGACGTCATAATTAATGGCCGATTCTACTCTTCTATTCAATTCTACAAGGGATCATTGGTACTGTTTTCTATGATTGTGGTCTAAATTTTACTTATAAAAACTGCGCATGCTAATGATTACCACTACATTATTTCTGAAGTCAAACAATCGATTGCAACGTTTCAGTAATGGTGCCATCGTCGAGAATAGAAGAGGATGCTAAAATACTTTTGGAAAAGATCGATGGATTACATCATAATCGACGTAAATTGTACTTGATGGTAGAGTATAACGGAAAATTATTCTTGATTCTGACGTTGTTCATGCAATAATTATGATAGAACTGTTTAGACATTTATCTGGTAAAAATTTCAGCTATATCAAGTCTGGTATTATTATTGATGCAACAATTTTAGAAATTGAAGACGGCAAAATTAAAATTGTTGACAAGTACAATATTGTCAATTCAGTTTGAAAATTTCAGCCTTAGTCCGCGTTGCCGATGTACTTAGAGTACCGTGCAGCTTGAAAGAAGAATAGTGGAATAAATAATATTCATTGGTGCTTTCCCTATTAACCCTTTAATTTAGAAATTTACAGCTACATGAAATCAGATATTACCATTAGTAGAATTCATTAGAGGTAGAAAGGTGGCATAAATGGGTTAATTACTAAAATTTTTTATTGTCGAGTTGAAAATTGAAACCGCACCGTGTCATATCAACAACTGTAGCATATTAGACACCGTATAGGTTGCCTGAATAAGGTCAGCTTGGGATGATTTTTCGTTCAAAAGTTGAACATTTTAGTAGCATAGAACAGAATTCATTCGAACATAAAAATATAGTGATTGATTTGATACCTTAAGAACACGAGCTAGCGTGAATAAGATTACTTATTAATGTTTTTTTCATTTATCAAATTGAAAATTTCAGCTGTATCGAGTCGAATATACGTCTGATGATCAGTAAATTTATCAATTCAAGTTGAGTGAATAAAATCTTTTTCTTCTTCTGCTGGTATTCATTCAAAAAATCATCCCTTTTGAATATAGTGAATCAAACGGCATTACTTTTTCAGTATCTTTTAGGCTTAAAGCGAAACGACGACCAAAAATGTCTGGTATATCATTTAGCTATGTAATTGTTGTTATTTTAGGTGTCATAGCATAGATAAAGCTGGCGGCTTGTGCTAAATATCGTTGTAAATTAAAATTAACTATAAAAATTTCATTACAAGCTAAGAGCTAAAATTTTTTACTTTCATTCCAATATTATATTGGCTTGATTAACGATACAGAAAAGTTAAGAACAATTGTGATGTATAAATCCAAATATGGAATAAGTGACAGAATACATCCGAAATGTATTAACCAGGCGACTTGACTTTTATTTTTTCGTTTGAATACGATATGAAATTCTATGAAATGTGATATCACGAGATGAAATGATAATTAATTATAATTTTTCAAAAAATAAAATGCGATGCACATCTTATACGTCTTTGATTATATTCAACACATAATTTAGTCTTTGATATGTACTAGTGTGTATTTCTAGAGTATTACGCCTAATTATCTGCATAATTACTATGTACATCAGAGATGCGTAAAGTTTAGGATTTCATTGACAGTTTTCCTTGCACATTTAGAAAATAATTATCATTCGGAAAACAAGAATTACTTAAGTCTTTTCTTAGCACTATTAATCATATTATTGCATATGAGAATAAGGCTTACTAAGAAACAGAATTTATAAATCCTCCAAAACTAATTCTTTAAATTAGTAGATTTCAACGTTTAGACCAATTTAAAATTGAGGATCGGATCTGTAGTAGAAAGTTTAATAGAAAATTATTTATATGATGCAGTTATGAAAGGTAACGTTAAAAATCATGCTAATTGTTATCTTAATTAATTATTTAAATTATGTTCATTTCGTTCTCTTTTGTTCACTGATATACCTTAAATGAGTGTAATATCAAGATGCACTAATCATTTAGAAATATTAATCAACTTCAATTAAAATTCCTTCCCAGAATTAGTTATCCGTAATAGATAGCAAGGTTCTTGAATTTTTATAGATTTTATTTCTGCAACTAACGTCAATTAAGAACTTTAATGAATGATTTAAAAAGTACCGGCACTGCATAGCACTAGATTAGCCAGTTTTAGTGATATTCGAATATGATAACTACTAACGTGTAAAATTATTCAGTCAATGGTATCGTGCAACCTAAAACAGTTTCTACTGGGCCTCAATTTCGTTCTTCTTAATAGACGTGATATTTGGATTGCAATACCTAACATTTTTTTAAGAATCGCTTAAAATTATAAATAAGTCTGAATTAAATTTGAATTTCGTCACTATTTTACTATAACTTGTGCTGTAGTACCGTTACGAGCTTATTCTATGCAAAGCTGAGAATGTTTCCAATGCTAATGATAAAGTAACTTTGCATTTAATTTTACAACGAAAGAAGTAGTTCATAAATATAGTAATAATTTGCCTTGAGTCTGTGCGCAGATCTTAATATAAAAGCAGCAATATTATCTTAAATATAATATAGAATAGTACCATATTTTATTTTCAATTACCATACAAATCACCACTATACACGTTAGTTTAGGTTTATAGAGTTAAAGCTTAGCTCTTTTATACCAGCAGATAAACATTACATAGCGCTTCGTAAGTTAATTAATTGTTACAGGAATGTCTTAGTATGATAAGCTACAGTTATCTTTAACTTAATATTATCGGGCATCAAGATTTAAACATAAAATACGCGCTTTGCGCAGTAAATCGTATTAGAAAGAATAACTAATTCCTTGCTGCTATTACGGATTAATTTTATTTAGCTGCATAGTTACTCTTGCCATGAATTAATTTGCGACCAAACTTAGATGTAATGAAAACATGCAAGATAGGGTTTAGGCAACAGTTAGCGGGAAATAATAAAATAAGTACTGGTGAAACTCTAATAAATTCTAAATGATGAACTTTTATGCTCGGCCACGAAATCATTATTCCGAAAGCAGTAAATGTGCCGGGAAACCAACATAACAAATTGGTTGCACCGGTTGCAATCGCAACTGCGAGAACATTTTTTTCGCCCTTTGCTGCATTAAACATGATGGATCCACTCTGGCGAATCCATTTTAGCTTTAGTGTTATAGCAATATACAGCGAAATAATTACTCCATAAATAATCATACAAATGGTATATTGAATAACTAATAAAATTCGAATAAAGGGTCTTTGTATATTATCAAAAATGCATAGATTGTGATAGCGGTATGAGAATACACGTATGTGATCATTGCTATCCCATGTTAATTTGGCAAAAATGACTATCAAAATAGACATCAGTAACGCAAGTAGCCATCCGAATCCAACTGCTAGTTTTGTTATAAATGCGGTTATCATGTTATGGAATTGGCTAGGATAACAAATGCAAATATATCGTTCGATAGCAATGCATAAAATAATATTTACTGACTGTGTTGTAGCCGCTATATATAATATACGTGCCATATGACAAGAAATACTTGTTACCCATTCTTCTGAAGGGTTAGTTAGATTATATCGAGCGCAATGATCCTCCCTATGTTCATGACGTGAATGACGATGATTAGGATCTGTGCTATCATTCCAAAATAGTTTCTTTCTATAATGTAAGTCGGCAGCGGCTAGGATAATAAGATAGATACAACCGAATAAATCGGATATTGCTAGGTTAAAGGTTAGAATATTAAAGCAGTAATTAGTTATATAATTTTTACGCTGACGCCTTGGAAAAGGTGGGATGTGATTACCAAAACCAACATTTCCATTATTATTAATGATACGATTAGAATCAATGCGATTTTGGCTGTGTATTCGCTCTTTTAGCAAAATATAAACGTTAGCCATGCAGCCAAAGATGCCACAAAACCATGTAAGAATGATAGCAAATATATTATCATACAATATGGAATTCATGTAAATATTAAATGTATCGCCTTTGCAAGGATTGGCTATGAAAATTGATTTTCGAAGATATAAAATATATAGGTTTCTTCGTATACTTTTCTAATGGTCGATTGTAGTAAGATGCCATAAATGATGAGAAGTTATCAGTTTTTAAGTATTTTTATTTATATTATTTTTTAGAGTGTCATTTTCTAATTCAGGAAGCATTAGTTTGAATTACTTGATGAACACCTGTTTTAATTTAACAATGTAACCATTAAACTACCAAACAAATTAATCAATAACGTTTCTTTGATAAATCTATTCTAAATGAATTGGCGTAAATTTCTAAATCAATTTCCAACAATAGCTATCAGCGATGGCTGATAGTTGGCAGGCTAAACTGGCTACATAAAGCAAATACGATCATAATTTTCCTACCCGTTACCCCTGTTTCGTCTAGCATATTGTTACTGGCAATTTTGCAATGAGTTATGGCATTTAGCTTCAAAATCAAAGGGTACGGCATATCTGATAACTATGACAGAAGTTTATTTATTTGTAATAAAAGAACTGAAGTAATTTTGTCGGCTTCACAAATAAGATGAAGCTGTATAAGGCGTGTTTATGTTTGAAATTTCGCTAGATCTTTATTCTTTTTCTATTTTCCAAATATGCTATTAGTAATAATAATAAATGTGGATGACGTTGAATTAATTTGTTTGTTCTTAAACAGTCTTAGACTATTTAAATTTATTTTTACTACACGAATAAAAGCATTTCATTTGATTTTCCAGGATAAAATAAAATTTCTAAAAAATCATACGTAGTTTAATTAGGATTAAAACTACTTTGTATTGAGGATCCTGTCAACTAAATTAGTCCTGTCATAGATTAATTATCTGTTACCATAGTAATTTAGTTATTATTTTGCTTTATGATAACAAAAATAAAGATGGACGGCTATAGCAACATGAGAATTGAAATATTAGGATTAGGCTATTGTAATAAAGGATGCCGATTTATTTATTGAATGTATGTTACTATTCAGGACTATAGAATAAGCTTGCTTCAAATAAATTTTATTTTAATAAGACTACCATCGCTGCAGTAACCATATTGTTATTCTATTTGAAAACGCTACTTCAAAATAAGCTCTTTCAATGCCTAATATCAGTAAAATAAATATATATAAGAGACTGTAGTAACAAATGTTATGAACTAAATTGTAATATGATTGATATATGCAAAATGCTACCAAACAGAAATATCAATCGAACACACTGACTGAAAAAGACGATATACGTAGCTCATGAAGGTTAGCAACACTTGATAGCTGTTTCTCAAGAATTTTCACAGTAAGGAACCGTTCAACACGGTCTATAAATCGAATATTTGTTGGAATTTAGTATCTTGTAGTAAATATCGTTAGGTAGGACTGAATTACAGTCCTGTGAAATACCATTTAGTATCACTTGCGAGTACTTTTCGATATAAAATATTGAAATAACAGCAGCAGTAAGTCTTTTTAGAGATACAAAATGTTATACGAGTGATTCAAATGAATCTGTACTATGCAATATGCCAACATAACGGAAAATTAATTATTGATGCTCTTATATTTATTGCCGTACTTTAAGCAAGGGCAAGGGTATATTACTTTATAAGTATATAGTTCAATCATGTCATCATGTTTCTTTTTGTTATGAGTATTATCCCTAATATAGGCTGCATCTACTGAGGAGTATGAAGATGCCTCAAATGTTACAATGTTGCAATTACAATGTAGCGTCAAAATTCAGACTTACATACATTGTCTAAAAGTTAGTGCAATACTGAATTATGATGGGTGTAGAATTTACTAAATATTGAAGAAAGACTCATTCTATGTCTTTCTTATCAGTGTAATTTGATTATATTTTTAGCTATGTTTCCATCCATGAATCATATTTTAATAAGGGATTGGCTTAAATGCAAGATTAAATTAATCAGAAGTTAGCTTATTCATTGCCTAAGTTACAGGAGAATTGTATTTTTAATGATTTTAACTCAATTAAGCCATTAACGCTAAAAGAAGATATAGAACATGTGATGATAAAGTATTCTGCTAATATTAACAGCATTAAAAGTCTGGTTTCAAGAGAATCAACGCTTCTAATAACATACAAACTTTGGAAAAGATATAGTAAAGAATCTAATTTCCTACCAGAAAATCTGAATAAGATTCAGGTCGTAATAGCTACAGAGCTGATTATGCAATAGCATGTCTAATATTGATTCAAACCTTAGCTTTCGTATTAGTATGTTACGATAATATCTTAGATAGCATATCTTAATAGATCTATTGTAACAAAATTGGCTGGTTGAATAAGTTAACATATATGATAAATACGAACTATAATAGATCCACTATCAATTACCAGGAGGTGAATTTGTGCTATCGGGATTTGCTCTATTATGGCATTCGCTTGGGTGTCTATATTCTGATAACTATACTGTAAATTAGCAGCTACTAGAATAAGTTGATATACCAGACCACCTCGGTAGATAAGATAAAGCAAAATGAAATATAGAAGTATAAAATAGAAAGAATTCGATAAATTTCTATGTTCTTGACCCCCATGTCTGTCGGAAGTTTTGTGGTCGATGCACAGGGGTGTCGACATAAGCAGTAATTGCATTAATCCGATACCTAACAAATTTTTTAAATGTTGGCAGCCTAGTAGCACACCCAGCAGGTTACATATCCGTGCACAAATAATTAGTGGTCAGTTATTATGCAAGATCAATATCATTTTGATAGAAAGTGTAGGTTAATACAAGAAAGTAACACTGCATATGAAACAAATGAAGTTCTGTCTTCGATGATAAAGTACCATATTAAAAGTAGAAAGAAAGTAACAAATTTATGATGATATAACGAGACTGTGCTTATATGTAAGCCGGCATACACGGTTCTAGACGTAGCTTAGAACTTCTTTTTATTATGAATTTCGTATTTATTTTACCGCAATGCTAGTATTCTCCTATCTTGGTTACGAAGGTTTTATAAAGAAGCTTATTGATTAGTACAGTACTCTAAAGACGTTGAAAATAATGTTACTGATCCCTCTATGTTTTGGCTAGATCATAATTGTACCAGGTTAGAAGATGGGTAGAAAAGCAAAGAATTTATCACTCAGAGATTAAGCTATAATTAGCGAAATATATCGCTAATTACTTACTGTTAAAGCTCAAAGTAGGCATTTATAATCCTATATAGTAAAATTACAGTATTTTAGTTCTTTCAAAAGAGATCAATATCAGCCATGTTGTTTATTAAATTTTGTTTATCTGTAATATGCCGGATTCTTAGATGCTCAAAGGTAAAATAGGATGAGTTCTACATTTGTAGATCGATTAATTTTTACAATCGCGATAGCTTAAAAAGTCTCTAAAAGTAATTCACCGAGTGATTCACTTGCTATATGTACCATATTATAAACTAATAGTTACTAGTATACTAGCCCGTAAACTATAAAATATAGTCAATGGTTTTAGCTCACTGAATATAAATCTTTAACAGTACTACACCGAAAATCCTAATCACTATCAGTTCTTGATAATCTACTAACCTTTACTTCTTCTTTTCCTGACAGCTGCTTATATGATCAATTCAGCAAATCATTGATGCTACAACGGTCATGATTACATGACAATGTAAAACCTCAAAAACTGACATTTTTACATTTGTAACATAGAATTTAGGAAGGTATCCTTACTCACATCGTCAAATTGAAGCTCTCAGTTAAACTGACCTACTATACTCGTATTTACTGCTCAAAATTCGTAGTATTAAGGTATGACGAGAAAATATTGCTAGCATTAACAACATACGAATCTATGATTTACTCGTTGGGTACAGACTGAAAATGAACCTAGCTGAGAGATTCCGAAATGGCAGCTAGAAATTAATATAAAAAAGTCTTCGTAGAACTTTGTAGATAACAGAGGGAGCGAGCACTTAGATTTAGTCTCGATGTCGAACATTGCTTATAAACATCCTCTAAATTATTCCTTGATGACTAAAATTGTCCACTAATATGGGCGGAAATTCAATAGCGACATCAAACGTTCAATAGTAGCTAGCCACTTTATAAGACCCCTGATGTGCGAATGTTGTAATAGCTTAACGTTTTCCCATCGATCGGTAATCCAGTTATCATTCGAAATAGATCATTGTGAACAGTTTATTGTGCTTGTAGATGTCTTAATCTTTACAACTAATACGGCATCGGTAATGTGTTCTTAAAAAAGAGCCATTCTATATATCTAATGCATCTAAAACGGTTATTACATCAAAAGCGTTAGCTTATTTGCGGACTGGGTTGTCCAAAAAATTCAAATGTAATATGTTTACATTACCAAAAGGCCTATTAAAATAGCTTTTGCGTTGCGTAATGATACATTCATTATTTGGGTGGAGTATTGTATTAATTTTGAGATACATCGGTAAATAGCAGGTGATCGGACTGCTGTGGATCCTTTACATTTGGCAGTCTTGATACAAATCAAGTCACTATAGTCAGGCTGAACGAGGCCGGATGCGAAATCAGTCATTTTGCAAAATGCCCTACAATCAGTTAACATAGTGACTGATATCGGCCCTATTATTAGCCTAAAGTCTAGATAATTTAACTCTAAGTAGGTGAAGGTAGGTAAAAAATTTTGAATGATCTTCATATGATACAAATTATTGAGGTACTCAAAATAACGCGCGCTACTGTATATGAAAGATTCGATTTGTAGCAAATCGAGAGAAATAGATAAGGGTAGTTGATAATGAGTTTTAAGCTTTCCATCATACGTTAAAATTATTGTTTCTTCAACCGATCCTGTCTAGCCTAGTAGTTATTATTAAATTCTTACTGGTTTATTCATCTTAACTTCGGTAGTTATAAATTGTTATATATGTTGTCGAA